AAAAAAAAAAAAAAAAAAAAAAAAAAAAAAAAAAAAAAAAAAAAAAAAAAAAAAAAAAAGGATCCAGGCCGCATTATTACAAACAGAACAATTTGAGAACCTTTAACAGAGCACTTCAAGAGAAGCCAGCAGAAAGAATTAAGATCCCATAATTTCATAACAGGCCTATCCACAACTAAGAAGATTCTTCTATAGACTCCATGAAGCTTTTTCATATGCATTAATTCCCTCCCAAAAAATATACACTAACCAAAGAGTTCAACTTCCATAGGATATTTAACCTTCCACACAGATCTACAAAATCCAAGTGACCAACCATCTCCATAGTTCATAGATCAAAGGAAAGGTCTTGTAACAAAAATTTGATCCGATTATGTATGAATGTATGCAGGCATATATATGTTATCCTGCGTGCTTGTCAGCAAATACTTTCAAGAACTCAACAGATTTTACTAAAATCCCAACTGTAGGGCAGTTTTTTTTTTTTTAATTTCCAAACAGATCTTGGGAAAATAACCATTCTATCTGCAAAAAAAAAAAGATCCTTTTCCTTGAGTAACAGTAGATGCGATGGTCAAAATTCAGTATCAGATATCTCACAGAGAAAAAAGTGAATCTTGATATTATCTAGAGATGAATGGTTTCATCTCTACAATTCATATGAACATCAAAACACTCCTTCCTAAACTCCACTTCCTGGACAAAATAAAATAGATTTAATATCATATTGAGATAGCAATGGCAATGCATATTAAGAAAAACATCGAATTAAATAGAAGACAAACCTTATAGTATATTGCATCAGCTGCATGAAAAGAAAAGAAAGGAGATAAACATAAGTAACAATGATAGATAATGATAGATAAATAAGTGTGATATTCATATAGTTGCGAATTCTACCCTCCCTGTGTGAAAACAACTATACACTTTACAGTTAACAAAACCACAAGATAGCAAAGGCACTGTGAAGATGCACCACAAGGATGGCCACCCAAAAATAAATAAATAGAAACAAATGATAAATTTGAACTTTTGAGTTTAGTGGTGATTTAGCTTAGTAGGATAAATTGTTACTACTAAAGAATGTAAAAAGTACAAATATATAGTTGATAAATGCCTCTTAAGGGAAGAAATGGGAACAAATGGGTGAAAAAGCAAAAATTGATAGACAAATGGGAAGATGGGAATCGAGGGGTACAAAATCCAATTTGGTCAATAGTTAAGCTTTCTATGCATCATAATGAGTACCAAACCAAAGAAAATCCGAGACATAAATTAATCAAACCATACCAAAAGCAACTAGAATTAAATCTCACATATTAAAAGAGAACATCAAAATATGCTAATGTACCTTAACTTCAGTCCTAAATAAAAAGTTCCATATGTTATGTTAAGTTGGTAGGCTAGTTCATAACCATTAAACCCAAAATCTTAAGCTAATAGGTTAGGGTATATATAATATATGGGATAATATCCTCAATATTATCCCATAAGATGAATTGTATGTGCATAAGGATGAAAAGTGAAAACTATCACCCATCAATGAGTTATCCATTCTTACCGCTTGGTACAGGCTGACCAATCAACCGAGCAACTTGGACCAATTTGTCCTTCACAGCCTATAAGAAGAAAAATGTCAAAGTTACTTGAAAGAAAACTCATGAACTAGAAGGAAAGGCATAATACATTTTACAAGCTAAAAAGGCTGTATCATTTTGAACAAAGTGAAAGCTAGGGAGGGAATATTTGACAAAATTGCCAATGAAATTTCCATAGATAAAAATTACCTCAAACTCTGCATAACCGATTGCTTTGTATGAGAGGCCAAGCTCCGAAAAGACCTGCTTCTGCAAATGCACAAGAAAATAGTGTACATTAAGCCATTACTCAATTGGAGAAGTGGGAAAAAAAAAATGAAGATAGCACTAAAGAACGGACCATATTCATACCTGAGATTCAGGACTTTCAGAAAGAAAACGGTGTCGAAATAGCATAGTTTCCATAGAAAGAAACCATTTTCTCAAGTCCTCCCTGAAATCAAGTCAAAATAATGGTAAACTAAAGCTAAGCCAAAAAAACAAGAGAAGAAGAAAGGAAAAAGCTTACGTTCTGCAGTATACGAGGCGCAGAACAAAGTGAGATATTATATCCTTGTTCACAGCCTCGGATGCCTGTGGATGTTTCATATGGGCCTTCAACAAGTCTCTAACCTGTGCAATGTAAAGAAAAGAAGAAGAAAAAAATTAAAGAAAGGTTTAAGAAACAAAAGGGTCTAAATAGTGAAGAAAATCAAACCACACCAGTTTCTCCATGTCTTCAGATTTCTTTCCTCGAGATAAACCATCAGAAATTCCTTTAAGAACTGCACTCAGACAACGATAAATATCCAGTTCGTAAGGGATCAGAATGCTTCAACTCATAAATATTCACCAATTCGTCCAACTATGAATTTAGATCTTCATACAGTGTGCGGAGAACTGAGCCTCCAAATTCCCGCAATTCAAATCTCTAAGCGACAAAAAGTTTCACACTCCTATCATCTACCCCCTCCCCCAAAAAAAATTATATTGCAAAAAGCTTCATGAAAGAAGAAAAAAATCCCCAATAAATGATTCGTTCCACCATGTAACTTAAAGCCATACTTCTTCGAAATCGCTCCAAATTCTAAAATACAACAAGAACAAGGAAAGGAAAGAGTATAAAATTAGAAAAGAAAACCGAGGAGGGAAAGAGAAAGATCCAACCTCGAAGACGATCTATGGCATAAAGTTCGAATTCTTCAAGCCTGACTTCGAGAGGAGGAGCGGAGCGATAGAGTGGAAGAGTGGTCGAGGAAATGGTCGCGGTGGAAGATTTCCTCTGAGAACGATGGAGTTCCATGGCAGTCTACTGGTCTTGCTACTGGAGCTGAGAATCGGTGGTGTTAAAAACGCGCTAAAGAAAACGAAAACGAAAATGGTTGGTCGGTTTTTTCGAACCGGATCAGACCATTGATTTCGGGTTTGAACAGTAAATAACCGAACCAAGGTCCTGAATAGAAGAAAACCAATTTTCAATCGAACCGATCGGTCGGTTGGCTGTTTGGGAACAACCAGCAAAAAAAAAATTGGATTATCGATTTCTATAATAATAAATTATTGTCTTATCACGTTAATATTGGCTTTAAAATCTCTTTATTATTATTATTTTTTAATTCTTTATTATTATTTTTTAACTTTTGTATGTAATTATTCTCATTTGGTTTGGTTTGATTTTTTAGTTTTTTCAAATGGAGAATCGAACCAAACCAAAACTTTGGTTTTTTCACTTTTCAAACCGAGGTCCAGATTTGCTCAATAACCGAACCAAGTCGGTCGGTTCGGGTTGTTTAGGTTGAGTCGCACTTTTAGCACCCGCGAGGAAATGGCGGGAAACTGATTTATTGGTAGTTGGGCTTGGATGTTTGGGCTCTTATTAGGCTGGAGGCCTCTTTTGGGTTAAATAACGGTCATTTTGTTATTAGTTTTATGTATTTTTTTAAAATAATTTATTTATCTACCGCATTTTAAAAAATAATACTAGGAAAAAAAACCCACTAAAAAACAAAAATTAATTAATTGCAGATATGCTGCTTGTTTTTTTTAAAATAAATTATTTAAACTAAAAAGAAATTATTATCAATTGAACACTCGATATTTGAGTAGATTTTTAATCATTATTATTAATTTCTATCTCACGTCTACACAGATTTACAATTCTTTTACCTATTGATAACAATTATTTCTTCAAATTCTTTTAAAAAATATATATGATTCTGAACAACATTTTCTTTTTCAAAATATTATCAATTATGAAAGTGTTCAATTACAAATTTAGACTTGAACCTCTGAGCTTAAGAGAAAGAGCACACGTCAATCTAATAGCTAACATCGACCGACCGAGGATCAAAATATTAAAGGAAAAGGCAGAAGGATCAAAATCAAAATTCAAAGGGCCAAAGCCAAGAGCCACAACAATAAAAAGGCTTCAGAATCCATCAATAACGTTACTATTTATGACAATTTATTATCGTATGACAAGAAAAAAAAAAGGGTAACCACATTTTGAGACCTAAAACAAAAATTAAGAACTTTATAACAATCATAACTACAAAATTCTGTACCCACCAGAAACTATGCGATATCTTCTTCATCTGGGTTGGGCACTGCTAGAATTAGCTGTATATCAAGTGTCCTCAAGGGTACTACTTACTGGCAGCCGCCGATTGACAGATTGTTCTACAAAAAGAAAGACTCCCTTCAAGATTGAACACTTGGGCGAGACTGCCGGAATACTGCACTCACTGCACTCCTCGTTCTCGTAAGAAATCCAAGTCCCGATAGCCCGGAATTCCCAGCCTCGCTTCTGGTGGAATCCGATGTACTGATCCCATTGGGTATACTGCTTCCATTGGATGTTGTATCGAGTCTGCTGCTCGATTGCGCGTTTGAATCTCTGGTTCCTTCTAACTGCCAAGCATATGAATAATAGTTAGAATTTTGTAGATGATTGTCAAGATGATATGAAACAAGTTTGGAGTATCGGACAACAACCATCAAGCCGGGGTCAGAGACGGTATTTTGGAGGGGTCGTCGATGAACTTGAACCTGAGATTGGATCATAACGTAAGAGTGATTATGTAGGTAATGAAGTTAACGTTGATCATAGCACACCAAACAATTGTTCTTAAATATGCAAATCAAACACTTCAAACTGATTTCATGAGAGAAACATCTAGCCCTATAGTATTCGTTATTTTGGAACAAAAATATAATAAGATGATTTTATTACTGCAAAATATAATCTCTGGAAGGATTAGATTAACTAACCTGGTTAGAAGAAGAATTAAACTCGGAGGGAGACAGCGCCTCTGGTGAAAAACCAATCGGCAACGACCGATTTTGCTGATGACAAGCCGAAAAAAAAAAAGTAAGCCTATCTATCATCTTTCTAATATCATTTGTGTGAAAACATTATCAAACTTACAGATAAATGCTGATATGTTACCTTTGGTGAAGGTGTTGTTGGAGGGGGTTCAAGAGCTTGCCTACTGGAACTAGAAGGAATTGCCTGCAAAATTTGCGGTTATATGAAAAAATAGTGTGTGAATACTAGTATGAATTTGAAGATTTGCATTTCCAGATCTCAATGGTGCAAATGTAAATTTTCAAAACGATCATACAATCCGACCATGATACAAATCATAAAGATCACACGAACGAGCCAATACAGAGTTATTTCAGAAAACAATGAATATCAGACAAGAATATCACATCATTGAAGTTCAACAAGGTGAAGAACAACTGTTGCTTAAACTCATTACATATTTTAGAATGAGAATTCTATATTTGTGCGACAAGAGACGCAAGAAGCTATGAATGAGGGTCCCCTTCCCCCAAATTAGTTATCAAAAAAAAAAAAACAAGGGGTTTGATGCATGCCTGAGTACGTTCCACGGCCCTTTGATTCTCCATGTTCCAAGCATAATTACACAATCTCCTAACACCTTCAGTCGTTTGTTCCTAAAACAGAGAATCAAAAGCCATAACATTCAATTTTAAACACGTGAAACCAGGAGTAAAATGATATAAACATAAACCAAATATTGCAAAGAAACTACATAAAAAAAAGGTTCACCTGCTTTTCTTCAAAACTCCATAGTTTATTTTCCTAGAACACACAAAAAGGTCAATCTTTTAATTCAAAGCTCAGATAAATTACAAAGAAAGAACATTAAAAGAAAGCTAGACGATCCAGAAGGATTTACCAAAGTCTGGACTGCATGATGAACGGATTTAATATCCCTGCCAAAAGTATCCGATTTACCTCGTAGTTCCGAAACCTTTATGGCCAAAAAAAAAACAATTCAATTCAGTTGATAATCTCCAAACCCTTTTATCTTTAGAGAAACAGTAAATTAGCCAGCTATGCACCTGTTCTTGTGTATCGGCAGTGAGATCCAAAGATTCATCCAAACTTTTGTCAATGTTGTCCATTTTTGAAGATAAATTCCGTTTTGTAGCCTAATCACATAGCAGGAGAGGTAAAGAAGTCATTGATTCACCGACAAATACCATAATGTTTATAGTAAAATCTGATCCGCATGGAATGGTTCAGAGCAAAATATTTTAAATGAAATTTCCAAAAAAACTTGCGAGCCCAAAAATAAAGTTCAAAATGCTGTTATGAATAAATAGTACACTCAGACAAAGGACATTACCGTGATGGATGAGTAAACATTTTCAAGCTGTCTAGCAACAGAACTGCAAGCATCAGATAGACTACGCTTTGTAGCAAACATCATATCAGGAAGTTTCCATCCCTGAAAATATACTTGTATTGTGTCTTAAATATGATGAAAGGTTCTAAAGCGGCAAGCAATTGGAAATTGTAACATGGCACGTTCAAATATTGCATACAATCATGGGATCCAGGAAAAGGAAATCGTAGGCTAAAGTATACTACCTCTAAAACATTCCATTCTTCTGTTTTATTGAAAATATTGCCAGAATTGGTGACATAAATATGTTTAAAAAATTAAATATACTGGTTTGAACTTTGGAGATTAGAAGCAATACAGCATGTCATCACTGCATAATTTGCCACAAACGAACTATATAATTACCTTCATCCAAACAAACCCATATCCTACTACAACTACAAGAATGATTACGCCAAATTTCCTACCCCCTGCATACAAAAAACGAAAAGATAAAAGTTAATAATATATTGACGTAAGAAAAAGGGCAAGGAATGTTTAAAGAGGAGAAATATGAAATACAAAAATTACAACACAGTTACTGATAATAATATATATAGATGTGTTGGGACAAAAAGAATAACTTTGAGAACAATGGAAAGAATGAACAACGGCAATGACAAGAAAATGTCATTGTGAATTAAAAGCCACTGATCAAAATTAAGTTAGATGTTCATATAATATTTACATCACAGCCACTATTTAAATATATACAGAAAGCATTCGTTAATTATTAGAATAGGCAACAGCAATTACATAAAGTAAATAACTTGCACAATGAACGTCCTAAAATTTTCTGAAAACGTGTCTTACATATAACTAGAAGCATGGTAAACAAGGGGAAAGTAACAAAATGACCTCATCACGTAAAAATTAAGTTGGTAATTTATTGCCATATTGGAACTAGAATGGGAACATTGTAATAAAATCTAAAACTTCCATTAAACAATCAGAAGGTAGAAAATGCCGTTCATCTCAATATGCAGCAGGATCATTATTTAAATAATAGTAATAAACCCAGAACCTTCCACATGGACAAAAGTATACCAACCCAATTTGGAAATAAGCTTTTCCCCTTCTTTTTCTAAGAAAAGGAAAGTTTCTTTAGGTAAAAGAGGGGAGATAAGGCAACCAAAAAAATTACAAAGATGAATACCAGTTGGCATGGATCGCATAAACCAGCTTATAATCAACTAAAAAAAGTTCCAGGGGATTTTCTAATTTGCAAAGTTGGAATTCAGTAGCTTCTTAGATTTTTTTTTCTTTAAAAAAAAAAAAAAAAAAAAACTTGAAGACAAGTTTGAAAAGAAAACAAAAATCATTTGATGATGAAAAACCAAGAAGATGTCTTCACCAATATCTCGAGTACAAAAGCACAAAAAATATCATCAAGACCTGTCCCGCCTGTAGTCACAATTGTCATCTGACGATTTGATGCTAACATTTGCAGTTCTTGCTGTAAGCTTTTTACCTGTAAATGAACGAAATGCAATTAACTGTCATTCAAGAAATAAAAAGAATTATATGAACATAACATGGTGACAGGAAAATGAAATTGTCATAAAAAATCATATTCGAGTTTGCAAGTAACAATAACACAAAAATTTATTGCATAGGTAGACCGTGGTCATGACTTCTTCCTCACATTTACTCAAAGCAAAACAAAATGAAGTATAATTACCGTCTATTAAAGTTACAAAAAACAAGATTTTCATCCATAAAACTAAATTTAGAATTGAAAACCAATAAGAGTAAACCACTTGAAGTTTTCGTATATCCAGCATAAGAAAACAGTGTAACAATGAAAAAAAGCAACGACAAAAATTCTATTTCTTTTTAATCAAAGTTCGCCAAACAAATTGCAAAAAATAGAAGTCAAAAGTTAGATAATGCACAAGTAGTAAAGCCTTCTACTTTGTGTTCTTGCATCAACAGTACAAAAATATCTTTAGAAATTTAGAACTCGAGAACGTAGAAAGATGAAGGGAGGAAAGGCTACTGAATACAACTAAGAGAATAGACTGGAGATTAGATCTCAAATTTTTATAAAAATGTTAATAATAAGAGAGAGAATGACCAAAATCTTTTCCTCATTGAGAACAATAGCAAGTAGCAATTTTTCAAAACAATTAACATTTAAATTCAATTTGTTCACTATAATCAGTTTAACAAACACACCTGAGCCATTAAAGATTCATTTCGTGGCTTGCTTTTTGGACTGCTGGAATCATCTCGACTGATACGCTTTAGAGCAATCTGTCAACAGAAGACAACAGAAAATTTAATATAATGAAAAATGATGGGAAAGACTGACAATTAGGAAAGATTTCCAATTCCTTCAAGGTTGGAGGTCCAAATCCATACCCCACATTTGTTGCACTAAAAAAAAGGACAACATAATTCTCAAATTCTACCCTAACTGGATTCAACATCTATTTTGATTATAAACAATGACATGTTATTTGATACTGAAAGGGAAGCCAATAACAATGCATGGTTTTGAGCTCTAATCTTTCTTAACATCTGTAAAATTACTGTAGGTCCCAACAGTAGAAAAACAACATATAAATAAAAAAATAAAATGTAAAACCAAAAAAATAAAAATTTCCTAGTGAATTAGAAAGCAGTTGAATCATTAATACAAGCTTCAGCAATTTAATTCATTACTTTAAAAGGCCTATGCAACAATGCATTTTTCAAATCCGAATGAGACCAATGCATAATAAAACAAAAAACCTTCTCTTAAAGGAGAAAAAAAAAATATTGTGAAAATATTTCAACTGATGTACATTTAAACAGAGGGACATTAAGCAATCTCCCAAAACAAAACACAAGGAGATTGCAAAACAGAGCTCTGGTTAGCAGCCAGAGTCTTGAATTCAGTGTTTCAATTAGATACTAATTCTAATTGAATTTCCACATCTAAATCTCAATCTTACGAGTTTCCTCATCCCTAAAACAGATGCCGGCAAGCAAGTAAATCAAATTAAACAGATGCCGGCGACATTTTCTGAGTTAAGACTCTCTTACTCAAGTGTAAAGCACTAGTTCAGATTCTAACATTTTCTGTGGATTCTACACTTTTCCCCTCTATTTTCTCTGTATTAGATGCTCCGCTTTTCCAAGCAAAGAGTAGCCCAGACTCTCAGATTCCAGCATCTATGAAACAGTTTAAAGTTCCCCAAAATCTCAATCATAAAATTTAATTTTCTACCATTCATCGGAAATAGGAAGCGAGTTCTCTAACAGAAAATTACCTTAAAAGCACCTGATACAAAATCGGATACATATGGCAAGCGTCCTTCTTTTGCCAGAACAGAGCCAACAATACCTGAGAGAATAAACCGTACGTTATTTGCACAAATTTTCTTCAGAACTTGGGTTTAGCTGAACTAGTATTGTACACTCTAAGCGTTCTCAAAAAGTAACCGCCAAATGACATAATGCATGGCAAGTACAACATAAATTCAAAACGTCTCTCTATTCTTTTCAGCTTCGGAAACTCAAGCTCGTAATTCCCAGAAACTCAACCGGTCAAACACTTTGGAAATTCTTGGTATACAGACACGAGTGCAACACATAATAGCTTAAACCATAAAATCCGCAAGAAAACGATGCCCAACTTCGACAGAGAGTGCTCCCACTCATGTTAGCGGGGAAAAAAAACTATCGATTCTTTGACGTTGGAAAATTAAACAAACACCGATTCACCAATAATCTACGTCTATGCCGTAAGATACTCGAGCTAACACATAACTTCAACTCTAAGGCCTCCGGCACACAAGAAAACCAATCGCTACAATCAAAACCACACAAATAGACCATATATCAACCAACTACATAACCGGAATTATAATTTTCAATCATTAAACGCCCCTACCCCAAAGCACAAGCAATAATTACAGCAATAGCACATTCAAGAACCAGGAAAAATAAACTACTAAGTTTACAGTGTATGAACCAGCTCCAACGAGAATGGTGATCTTCCCGAAAGGAATCGCCATCGCAGTGGCAACGATGTGTGAGTGAGAGTGGTGCTGCGGTGGTTACTCGACGCAGTGGTGGCCGAGCATCAGAACGTTCTTGAAAATCGAAGCTCAGCAAATGGAGTCGCGGCGGATTGTGGTCGGTGGACAACGAAGAATCGCTGCCGATGCCAAAATTTCACCCAAAGAATGAACGAGCTCTTGCAAGTTGCTACGTAACAACCCTATTCGCCAGGAAGGAAATTTACGAACCCTCTCCAACATAAAATTCTGCTTACTAAGCAAAAAAGGAATTCGCGATTTTTCCCATTTTATTTCCTTTTTTTCTTTTTTTTTTCTAGCCATTTGTATTTCACTATTTTGTCAAAATCTGGTCCTATTTTATCAATAAACTTAGAATTTGTTCCCTATAGTTCAATAATTTGCAAAAAATATATATATATATATATATATATATATTATTATTATTATTAAATAATTAAAATAAAATTTATATATCTATATTTCCCTCTGTCAAAATTCTCTATTTATTTTTTGTCGTAACCAATAATTATTGTTGGAGAATTTTACATTCACAGTTTTTTTTTTTTTTATTATTTCAATCTTCGTGCGAATTTTTATTTATTTATTTTTGCGTGTACGCAAGGTCATGAGTTCGATGCTCGTTGAAAGGTCACAAGTTTTGATCATCATTTGAAGCTCCAATTTTTCTAAAATTTATCTAGCCGATCTTCATTCGAGTCAAAATAAAGTTAGTATTAAAATCAGGGTGAGAAACCTCAAATGGCGATCGAACGGGAAAAATGGGACTTAGACAATCGAGGTGAGAAACCTCAAGTGGAGGTTGAACGAGGAAAAAAGGAGATTACACGCGCTTTTCATAGACACAGTAAGTCTCCCACGCATGTAGCCATGCGCAAGTACACAATCGCCCGAGGGAAGGGAGACACATGACACATGGCAGCCTATGATTCGTGCATTCAACTCCCAGGCGTATGTTTGATCCTTCACGAACATGAAAATGCTTGCAATATCCGACATTGCGAGTCGAGTCGCCTGTTCATGTAAGATCAACATTTTTTAAGAAAATAACTAAACACTAAAATATGGTAAAGATAAAAGAACAAATATATAAGAATATTATTTTATTAGTATTTAAAAAATTTTAAAATACAGAAGATTAAAAAAGAAAACCCAAATAAGTACAAACTAAAAGTATAAAATATATATTCAGTTTTGATATTTATTTAATCCAAGAAAAAGAAAATAATAAATGAGAACGAAAACAATTACATATGATTTAAAAATTAATAAAATAAAATAAAAAGAAAGAAAAAAAAGGGAAAAAACGTGAGGGAGAAAGTTTTTTCAAGCTAACAAAATTAATATTTTAAAGATAATTAAACTAAATTAAATAAAAATAAATAAAAGAAAGAGGAAAACCCTCTCTTTCACCGCGCCACTTCTTCTTTTTCGTCGCGCCGTCGCTTCTTCCGCGCCACTTCTTCTTTCTTCCGCTCGTGCCATCGCAGCCCCCTTCATTGGAGTTCAGCACTGAGTTTCTACTCCCTTGTTCTGACTGGTATTCTCCCTATCACCATCTATGTCTTCATTAGAAACTCTCATGAAAGAATGGAGGAGTTGTTTATCTGTCTGTCTGTTTGTTTTTGTTAATAAAAATTGCCGGATAAATTCGAAAATAAGTTCAGCCTTATGGAAATTTGGGACGTGGTTTGTGCTTGGCTGTTCTGATTCGGACAGAATCAGTTATCCAATTCTCTTTTAAATCGTTGTTTATCGATTGACCGAACAACTTCAACCTTATTCATGTTTGTGTATTTGTAGATTATAGTTGTGAGAATACAATTGATTTTTTTTTTCTTTCATTCTGAAAATTGAAATTGTTTCCCTCAATTAACCAATACAATATCCAATAATACTTCGGATTTATAGAACTAAGAGCATGAATGCAGACGTATATTTTTTTTTATTGGAATACGAATCTATCAGTGTATGAAGCTCAAACCTGATTAAAAACTTGAGTCCAGACATATTTTTCAATTATTCATTAGGAGTAATCAATTAAACGGTAATGAACCAACTGTGTTTTATTAATGTGGATTATTTTTCTTCCGTTAGTTGCAATTGACTGGTTAATTTCAGAAATTAAGACAGAAGGGTACACGATTTAGCACAAAAAAATTCTCCCTTATTCTGCATTTTATACTATAGATATAGATGTCAATAGAATTCATCGGATTATATGTTTAGAGCACCAATTAATAAATTTTCTTAACTGGTACAGTTTTAAGTGTTGTTTGAACTAAGGCTGATTGAAATTTTCTTATATTTTGTAGATGTCAGGAAAAAAGCCTGTCATTAGCCTTTCTTGGGAGCCAAAGCTGCCCACTTCGTCGTCAGGGATCAAAACCAAGGCTTGTGACAAATCTCACAGTCAAGCGGGAAATGGTCTTGTTTGGAAAAACAATTCAGAGCTTGTGGATGGACTGTTTGTTCCCCCAAACAACCCAAAAAAGTTGAATAAGTTATTGAGAAAGCAAGTCAGTGACACGGCTGGGAGGAATTGGTATATGCTCTTTTCATATGAAATTTCAATAGTTTCAGTTTTACCATTGATTCCTGGAGAATCAATGAAGGCACTTTTACTCCTTTCACATGGTTTTAATCTTATTTGAATGTTTATTATTTTTATTTTTAACTTCATTGGTTGTGGTACCTTGCTGTACACCATCAGTTTATTAACATAGTAGTTGAAGTTCTATATTCTAATACTCATACGCTTGTTATTGTAACTAGGTTTGACATGCCAGCACAAACCATGACCCCTGAAATGGAAAAAGATTTGCGCTTGTTGAAGGTGAGGATGTCTTTGATGTATTATCCATACTCTTATTAGTTTTGTATTCCACATAGTTTGGACTGTTATATAGAAACTGGTTACCTTCACCATGGATCGAGAGTTGTAATCATGCTAAAGAGCTCTGCAGTTGTGATATGGGCATGGCGTGTGTGTTCTTATTCTTCTCTGGTTCCAAGATTCAATATTCTTCTAGAACTAGAACACTGCAGATGGGCATGACTTGTGTGTTCTTATTCATCTTTGGTTCCAAGATTCAATATTCTTCTAGAACTAGGACAATGGATATATATGATTGCTATGATGCATGTAATGACTAATTAGAATGTCATGTTTCTACGTATTTTATTTGTTGGGGTCATATAGAGAAATAATAATATGCTTTGATGCACATGAAACATATATTCTAGTACTTGGGGAATTATTTCAATCCCATATTGGCCACCTATCTAGAATTTGATATCCTACGAATTATCTAGACAACCAAATATAGTAGGGTCAAGTGGTTGTCCTTTGAAAGTAGTCAAGTTGCCAAGTTTGCTTGGACACCCATGGATATCACCAAAAAAAAAAAAAACATTTTGATGCCACATGAAACATATATTTTCAATTCGCAATTTACTAGTACTTGACCAAGTTGTTTCAAGTTCATAGGATTTTTCGAGGGCTGGATAGGTCCCCGTGTGACGTTTTCTCTTGTTAGATTCTATGTTTCTCTTTGGGTTCTGGTGATGAAGCTGTTTTGTAATTATCCTTTAGATATTATTTTGCTTGATTGGAGGCCTTTCTTGTAGTTTGCTCCCTTTTATGGGCTTTATTTTTTGTGTGCTCCTGTATTCATTCATTTTTTCTAACCGGAAGCTTAGTTTCTTATTAGAAAAATACTATACTTTCTATACTAAGTTGTTGAAACCCGAAATTGGACGTTAGAGTGTGTTGGGCTAGTTTGAGTAGATAGATTAATTTTTCACCATTGCATCTGTGGTCATGAATCTGTGAAAGAAAAGCATAGTTACGTAGATATTCAACTTATAGGATAATATTTACCAGTGGTTGATTTGAATGGCCCATCTATCTCTATGTGTTTATTATCATCCAATATCTATGAACTCGGAAAATTTCTGTTTGATTGACTTCTGCTGCGTCCTTATTTCTCTTGATGATTATAGCTGAGGAGCGTCATTGATCCCAAGAGACACTACAAGAAGGGTGATTCGAAATCAAAAACACTTCCCAAATATTTCCAGGCAAGCTTTTAGTTTCACGAGAAATCAACTCATTTTATACACGAGCAAAAGTAAAATTTTCTTAGTAAACAATATGTCCAGTGTTAATATTTGCTCTAGACTTATTTTGAGTTTTAAGCATTTACCAGGTAGGAACCGTGGTCGAGTCTTCTTTGGACTTCTTCTCAGGTAGATTAACAAAGAAGGAGAGGAAAGCAACGCTTGCCGACGAACTGCTTTCCGACCAGGCCCTCACTCAGTACAGGTTTGATCTTTATCACATTCTCTTGCTATAGCAAAATTTTCCAGTGAAGGAAAAGAAATGGGGGAATATATGGCTATCCATTTTGAAATCTACTTGTTATCTGTTTTATGATATGGTTGCTTCTTTGAATCACTTGGACGAGGAACATTTGTTTTGATGCAGTTGAGAAGTTAAAATTAGAGTTCTAAAATGTAAAGTGCATTTGAATGCAACATTGGTGGAGCATGTGCTTAATTTAAGAAGCTTTCCAATACAATCTTGATCAGTTCTTCCATTGGTTCACTTCCAGATTTTGAAAATTGCTTCGTCTTTAAGTTGAATGTAATATTTCTTGTGCATTGTTTAGTGTTTTGTTCTGCTTATATCCTTCTGAAAAACCTCTTGCAGAAAACGCAAAGTTCAAGAAATCGAAGAGCAGAATCGACCAGGTGGAAACGACAAGTGGAAAATAAGGGGTCGTCAATCACGAAAACGTGCCAAGGAAAGGAGGAATTAGGTAAGTTGCCTCAAATTTTTCACTAGTAAACCAGATGAGCACCACTAGATCAGATCAAGTTAAGTGATGGGGATTGATCATTGGCTTATTAGGTGAAATCCAGCAAATATTTTATGTATACTCTGTAGACCGAGCTGACTAAGAACTCAAGTTTAAACTATTTTTGGCTATTGAATTGATGATGTGTATTAGGAGTAGAAGTGTTCTTGAGGCTAAGTTATGAAACCTGTAACTGATGAAATGGTGTTTATTTATCACCGAGGAAAACAACGTATTCTTGTTCCACTGGTTTCATATGTCAAATTTAATGGCAACCCACATATGTCATATTCCTAGTCCTACCTATAATTCCTGTCTAGTGAACTATGATACATAATACACGAGTCAGTAACAATAACACGACTCCTTGCTATGATAGGTTAGTTGACACCTCTTTAGTAGCTCCATCACATTACCCTAATATCATAATTTATAATCGGGGAGCGATCTCGTGTCTAAGCCAACTAAGATATATCTCTATAGGTCAGCCATAAAAGACTCATCGTTATTAGAAGTTAGTTGGCAACTCTCTAACAGTCCGATCATAGTAACATGATAATATGAAGAGAACAATTTTATTTTATTTAAAACAAAGTTCAATAAATGTAATTTTTTATATTTTATTTTATTTTTGGAGAAATTTCCATTAATGTAGATGTCTATAGAAGTGGGCGATGGACCAACACCTATGCTTTAATTATTAATTATGGCCAGATAAAATGCATTACCTATGCTTTAATTATTAATTATGGCCAGATAAAATTCATTGCCTATGCTTTAACTATTAATTACGGCTTTATAGTCAAATTGATTAGATCATAATAGTCTAACTTAAACGTAGATCTAAACTATTTATTTTAAATGTTTAATATTATAAATTTCAAATTTTATAAAGGTGAATAAAAATTAAGTTGTAATAATTTTATAATTCAATTATTTAATGATCTTTCAAATTTAGGGCTGGTTACTACATTTTTCAACATTTAAAAACTTAATTTTAGTTTTTATAATTATTATTTTAAAAAAAACTTTAATTCTATAAATACTACCCCCATCTATACCTTTATTATTTTGTTATTTATTTATTTATTTTTAAATGTTTTCAAAATCCAACGAAATTGCTCCATTATAAGATTAAATTTGTTAATTCATTAAACTTACTGACAGTTACTTGTTTTTAAAGTACAACAAATCTGAAAATTATAATAATTTAAATATTAGATGATATTGATGAACAAAGGCTATTTTAGTCATTTTCACTCGTATTATCAGGTTGGGTAAAAATGGATAATATTTTAGACTTATTTTTATTATTTTTTTAATAATTCGACAATTGGATGAAACTATCAAATTTTGACGTAATCATTACCTATTATAATATGTGAGGCTGAGGTCCGTGTCGTTTAGCCATGGGAGAAATGGCGTGGATTTGCGAGGTATATATACCAACCACCGTCGCCGTACTGTTCTTCGCGATATCAACAAGAAAATGATTTTTCACGTTTGTGTGCATCAGCTGATCTCTATCTCAATCGTCTCCGTCGCAAGTGTTTATCTGTAAGACGCAATCTTCGTAAGTCTCCGTTCGTCTTCCTCTTCCTATTGCACCGTGCGTTTTTTTTTTTTTTTTTCTCTCTCTCTTTCGCAATGGATTCTGCTGTCAAGTCGTTTTTGGTGGAATTTAGAGCCTCTGCCAATGGTTTCCTGTCAAAGTACGAGCCGCTGGCTCTCGTTTTTGGTCCTCTTTTCGTCATACTCTTGGCTCGGTTGCTTCAGTCATTTCTGGATCTTGTTTATGAAAGAGGACTTAAAGCCACCGTCTTATCGTTCTTCATGGCTACGATTAAGTATGACTTTCTCTGCTGAAGTTGTATGGTGTTGTGTTAATTTGATTTTGTTAGAAATGTGGTGATGTTCTTGGTTGTTTGATTGTGTCTGTGGAAACAGGTTAATTCCAGTGGTGAAACGTCGGATTGATTCTGAGAAGCAGAAGGTTAGTTTTCGTGTTTATGGATTTGTTTTTGATTGTTATGCGTTCTTTAAACGATATGCAGTTACATTTATGAGTTGCTTTTATGTTATAGTATCCATGTCGATTTTTTTTTGGAATTGCATCCATTTCGATTTAACAGAATGAGATTATATTCTATACTGTATTCGTTGTATTTAAATGAGTAACATTAATGATATGGTATGTGTCGAGAATTTATTGTTAGGGCTGCTGGATCAGTACAGAGCCTTAAATTCTTATTTCTTGGTAGCGATTTTAGTTGGTCAAACTTTGACCCTGAGCGTTGATTCTTCTTTCTTTTTTTCTGTGGAAAATTTGGTACTGCGTTTCCTTCATTTCGGTATCCGTCTTCGATTTAGATGGTCACCTCGGAAAAACTGGCAATTAAGAACTCGTCGAATTTCTCAGAGTAGGAAATATCAGCACCATGTTTTTCCTGGTTTCTCATCATGTACATAAATGGAGACATCCCGATATCTTTTGAAGGAGAAAATAAGAAACTTCAGACCTAATTGAAATTTTTTGAATTTTTTAACTGATTACGTACTTGCTTCTATTTTTATTGGATTTTAACTATATTGATTGTGGAACTTGGAAACTTTGTATTGAATAAATGAAAAGAAATTAGTGCTAAAGAATACGAACTTGAAGAGAGTGAAAAAAAAAAAACATAAAAGAGATATCAAGAGTACATATAATTACACTAAAAGAGAGAAAACTGAAAATATCAAACTTTGAGGCAATCTTGAGATCTGAACTAAACTTGGAACTTTGAATAACCAACCAACTGAGAGAAAGGGAAACTGAAAGATTCGATGAAGAAACTTGCAAAGAAAGAACCCCTAAGGCCAACACAAAAGAAAGCCCGCTGAAATAACACAAAAATACACCAATGTTCTTCAACAAAAACCTGCTTGAAAACACTTGAGAGCCTCTGAGAACAAAAGCAACCAAAGACAAGAAAACAGCAATCACTGTGGACCTCATGGTATTGTACAGTCTAGTCATGCAATAGATTAAGTCTTTGATGTCTCTGTCCCTTGGTGCTTTAGTCAATATCTTTATTGAAGTTATTCAGGAGATGCTTTTACATTTGGATTATGCCTATAGATTGACGGATGGAGTGCCGGTCAAAATTAGTACAACCAAACACTGGCCATGTTGGTTTCATGAGTTCAGATACCTGAGTAGGCTGTACCCACTTCACAGAACTCGTCTTCCTCACTATGCTCTATTTCCACTTTAGGCTAACGAGAAAAGCTACCATCTTTGCTGACTCCGCTTTCTTCTCTTGTAGCTAAATAGTACGTGGTTTTTTTGTGACTTTGGTGATGATGTTTTGTTGAATAAACAGGTTGTGGATAAACTACAATCCAGCGGTCAATCTAAAAGAGAAAGTTGGAGGACTGAGTTGCCAAGGGCAGGCCTGGGATCTGAAGTCATTGTGAAAATGAAAAATGAGAAACAAAATGATGTGGTTTGGCAAGGCAAATGCTCGGGTACAGTGTATGTTTTGAAAATGTTTGCATAGGCACATTTACCCATTCAGTTATACTTGCATTAGAATGTAATAACACTGAAGTTGATTTTTTTTTTCCTTGCATTAGAATGAAATTGTCTCTTATCAAAAAAAAAAAAAAAAAATTGGCCACAATGCTTATGAGTATTATTCATTTCTGAGCAGCTACATTGGAGGAACGGAATCTGAAGGTCATTTTTCTCTCATAAACGAGGCATGCTCAATGTTAGTAAGTTATAGCTGATAGATTACTTTTATGTTTCATTCAAAGTCTCTACTGAAGTGCTGAAATCACTTAACTATCACGTAACTGGTGCAATTTCTATTTAAGTGGAGTTTGGACTATCGTGTTCTTATTCTACTTTATTGGAGAGCCTCCATATCGGCAACTAATAAAACTCCCAGAGGAACGTAACCTGTTTCATAGATCTTTAACAATTCGCCTTGTGCTTTCTGGGTAACTTTTTCAGGTTTGCACATACAAATCCTTTGCATTTGGATGTATTTCAAAGTGTCGTGCGGTTTGAAGCTGAAGTGGTGGCCATGACTGCTGCTCTTCTTGGCAGTAAAGTGGAGGCTTCTGGAGGGCAAATCTGCGGAAACATGACGTCGGGAGGAACTGAAAGCATTCTATTGGCTGTGAAATCAACTCGTGACTATATGAAATCCAAGAAGGGAATTACAAAACCTGAAATGTATACGCCGTGTTTTCATGCATGTTCTGTTCTATATGTTTCTTGTTGACCCTTAATTTAATTTAGTTTTTCCTCAATGTTCAGGATCATACCCGAGTCAGCACATTCTGCATATGATAAGGCTGCTCAATATTTTAATATCAAGTTGTGGCGTGTCCCTGTAGACAAGGAATTCAAAGCTGATGTCAAAGCTATTAGAAAATTTATCAACAGGAACACTATCTTGGTATCCATATACTTTTATTCTCTTCTTATACTTGTATTTACATAAACTCTCTTTCTCTATCATCTTTTTCGCATTTTTATCCACAATTTTGTTTATGCTGCCCCATTTTTGTTGAATTTTTTTTTTCTTTCAAATTCCATTATCAAGAACTAAGAAGTATGATACTGTTGCTTTTGCTTATTCAGAAAAGCTGCTTCACCCTATTATAGTATTTGTATTTGTATGTTACCTGCTCATTTGTGTCTTTTCCCTTGTGCTCTTCATATTGCAGATTGTTGGATCTGCACCTGGTTTTCCCCATGGAATCATTGATCCGATTGTTGTATGTTCATTTTCTCTTGTATCTTTTAGTTGTTTTCTATATGCCGGGACAAAGACCATCAATCGTAACTTAAATGGCATTTCTCAAGTAATTTCTGATCAGGAGGATCTTGTAATATAATTGCAGGAACTTGGGAAATTAGCTTCTAGCTATGGTATTTGTCTTCATGTTGACTTTTGTCTTGGCGGGTTTGTGTTACCGTTTGCGCGTAAGCTTGGGTAAGGCTGTTTGGGCTTTCTCTGAACAAAAAATTTACCACTATTAACATTCTTAATGTAACACATCAATACTCTAACAGGAATGCTTTTGCAAAACATTTGTAAATTATGAAATGATTTTTCACTAACCTCTTTCTCTATGATATCCTATGAAAGAATATAACAATATATTTCTCCTTCCCCCTCATATGTGTGGGATTATATTTTCTAGTTCAGCACACCAAACTTGCAGTGATTAGTTATCAAGTGGAAATT